TGAAGTCTGGCCATTCTTGCTTCCAAGGAGCATTCTGGGTATACTTCTTCCAGGACAGATTTGTTCATTCTTCTGACAGTCCATGGTACTTTCAGTATTCTTCACCAATACCACAACTCAAAAGCATCAACTCTTCTTCAGTCTTCCTTATTCATTGTCCAGCTCTCACCTGCATCTGAGATGACTGAAATACCATGGCTTGGGTTAGGTGCACCTTAGTCTTCAAAGAGACATCTTTGATCTTCAGCCACGGCTTTGATGGTTGGGACATAAATCTGAATAATAGTAGTATTAACTGGTCTTCCTTCTAGGTGTATGGATATTACACTATGACTGACAGCACTGTACTTCAGGATAGATCTTGATACATTCTTTGTGATGATGAATGCCATACCATTCCTCTTCAATTTGTCATTCCCAGCATAGGAGATCATATGACTGTCTGATGCAAAGTGGCTCAACCAAGTACATTTCAGCTCACTAATGCCTAGGATATTGATCTTTATGTGTTCCATTTCATTTTTGAAAACTCCCAATTTTCCTAGATTCATACTTTGTACATTCATGTTCCGATTATTAATGGATGTTTGCAGCAGTTTCTTCTCATTTTAAGTTGTGCCGTATCGGCAAATGGAGGTCCAAAAGCTTTACTCCATCCACATTATTAAGGTCAACTTCTACTTTGAGAAGCCAGATCTTCCCCAGTCATAATCTGAGTGCCTTCTGACCAGAAGGGCTCATCTTCCAGCACTGTATTGGACAATGTTTCAAAGCTATTCAAAGTTTTCTGATAATATATTAGACAGTGTTTCACTATCATTTATAAGGTTTTCACTGGCCAATTCTTTAAGTGGATGGGCCCTTCCTTCTTCCGACTCTATCTTAGCCCTGAAGCTCTGCTGAAACCTGTACACCATGGATGACTCTGCTGGTATTTGAAATACCAGTGGCATAGCCTCCAGCTTCATAGCAACACACAAGCCAATGTAGTATGACAAACTGACAGGCAAGTGGTGGAAGGTGCTATGGTGTTAGGAAAGGCTTCATAACCTTCCCTACACAGCCATATTCATGCCTACCTTTACCTTTTTGCTTGCATTTTCCTCATTATTTCTTTCTCCACCAAAGGTTTCCCCCTTATTAACCTAAATCCACCCAAATTTCAAGATCTGTATAAATTTTAGCTTTTCCAAAATGTCCTTTCATCTCTCTTCTCTAAACTCCTTGTTAGTACCTCAATTTGTATTATTTTTGTTTCAGTCCTTTACTTCCCTCAATCCCCCAGCTACATAGTAATTCCCTTGAATTTCTGGAAGATCTTAAAAGCTCTTAAAAGATCTTAAAAGATCTTAAAAGCTCAATGATGTATTATTCAAATGATATTTTAGAATATAATAAAATGATGAAGATAATCCTATGTTCTAGTACAGATTAACTATCCAGCACTGATTATTACAGACATCTCAGATCATTTCCAACTGTGTTTAAAGGCTAATTCAAAAGTTTTACCAATTTGGCCCATTACACATTTCTAATTCATCAGTTTAAGTTTTAGCAAATGAGTTCTAATAAAGGTTCACTCCCAATCCTTTGGATTATAATACGTACTTTCCTTACGGTGGAGATCTACAATGATAAACATGCTAACATGACTTAAACCCTTGCAATTCTTCCTAACAGGTCTGAGAACACTTCCCCCAACCATTAAGTAAACTCAGATTTGTCCACCTGTTTTAATAGTAAGAGGTAGTCCAAAGTTTCTGTCAATATCTGCCCTGACCTCCTATTTTCTATTTCAATTTCTATAGAGAAGAAACAGACTTCAACCTCTTGGTGTCTTGGGGGCTGTGGGGAGTGGAGTATATGAACTAGGAACTGACAGATGAGAAGGCTAGAACAGAAATCTGAAATAATATATTCTTAAGTCTAATTTAATGATAGCATCATTAATGACTTTCTGTGCAACTACTGACAGATCTTCTAGTTATCATCTCCCTATTTTCCCGTGTTAAGGTTTACCCCAGCACTGTGGAAGATGGCAAAATCGGCATTTCCAGTGCAGAAAAATAAGTGAATATATTAAAATAATTATTGAGGAAAATTTCCAGTTCACTTAAAAACTGAAACTCAGAAGCAGATATGAAAGAAAAATGAAAAGTAATACATGTGAAATTGGATCTTTTGAAGCCAATGACAATAATATAAAAATTATCTGAAGTAGAAACTTGATACTACAAACCAAAATGGCTCATCTTTTTCCCAGGAAAACTGATACATAATTATCAATCTTAAAATGGAGGAAAAGAGAAGGAGCAACAGCAGAAGAAAGCAGTTTCAAGAGGAGCAGTGGAAGAAATCAGTTTGGCCTCAGATGTATCCACTAACACACTCAAAGGAGAAAGCAGAGGAATGATGTCTACACAATTGTTAGGAGGAAAAATGTAAACTAAGAGTTTTATACCAGATAATTTGCTCTTAGACAACGACCATTTTTATGCATCCAAGATCTCACGGAACACAGCAATCAAGAATTCCTTCTTGAAAAAAAAAAAACGCTTTGAACTGTAATTAATTAAGAGATGAATAAAAACAGTAAAGATTAGAGGAAAGTAAAAAGGACTACTAAGCACTGAATCCATTTAAGAACAAACCAAGAGCAAGAATCTTTGTGACTACAGATTATTAAAGAAAAAATAAATGGCACAGAGTTAAAAAGGTAAAATAAAAATGTTTAACAAAAATATAAAAGGCAGGATTGGGATAAAAAGTGAACATGTACTGCTGTGTTCATCTTTCATCAGGAAAGCAAATGCTGCTATCTGGAACAAAACTAAAAATTAAATAAACATACTAATTTTTGAAGCCACCAGCTGGTCTGCAGGATTAAGTTGTATCCGTCTGCATCCATAAAGATTTATAATCTTAAAAATCCTATGGGCAGTTCTACTCTGTCTATAGGGTTGCTATGAGTCAGAATCAACTTGACAGCAGCAGGACTGGTTTTTTGGTTCTTATTAACTTTTGAGAACTCTAGCAAACAATCTCTTATGGTAAAGAAATATACTGGTTCAGCAATTCCTTTAGTTTCACTTTAGTCCTCCCTCTGAATGTATTCAAATGTAAATAAAATTAATGTTTCTGCTAAAAATGGCATGGTTTAATTTTTAAGATTATATCCATGTAAATGCCTAGACAGATGTCTAGTCTGTTATTTTGGATGGAGGGATTTTTGGCCTAATGCCTAAGGCACTTGACTGCCAACCAGAAGGCTGGTGGTTTAAGCCCACCAGCCACTCCTCAGAAGGAAAACTGGGTAATCTACTTCCGTAGAGATACAGCCTTGGAAACCCAAGGAGAGGTTGCTATGAGGCGAATGGACTTGACTGCAGTGAGTTTGAATTTTTTTTTTTTGACACTTTAATGTAATAAACATGGATCATTTTTGTAAAATCAGTTTTCATTCTTAAATAAATAAAACAGTTAATGTCTTAACCTTTAATTCACAACAGGTGTCCTTCTCTACTTTTGGCTATAGCTCTGTTAGCCAATAGAGATGTTAGCTTTTGAATGCAAGAGTTGTTCTATTTTTCCTTTGTATTCCTCAAAGGAAGCATGGTATAACAAAAGTTTTTTTTTTTTTTTTTTTTAAAACCTAACTTTTTAAAACTTTATTTATTAAACCCTTAGGCTTGTCCAGTGCCATGCTGAAACCTTATCCATCCATTCTTTGATTTAATCCTCACAACCCTGAGGCAAGTATTTCTCTTTTTACAAATAAGGTAAAATAATTTGTCCCAAATGTCACATAGCTAATAAGTGTCAAAGAAAAGATTAAAAAAACTCTATCATACTATAAAGATCAAGCTCTTTACCCTTAGTTTTAGAGTAAGACAGACTTGGGTTCAAATCGAGGCTCTGTTACCAGCAGTGTAACCTTGGCCAAGTGAAAACTTGCCATCTTCACTTTTTCCCTTTTCAAAGTGGGCAGATTACCATCCTACCTCATTAGGTAGTTAAATAATAAATAAAGCTCTTGGTGCTGTTATCTGGCATATAGAAAACACTCTATTTGGTGATGATTTATAATTTCTTGTAACACTAAGAACATCAAGATGAGTATGGTATCAGAGAGGTGACTAAAATTTATAAATACTAGAGATATTTAAAGGAGTTCTGGTGGCATAGTGGTTTAAGCATTCAGCTGCTAACCATAAGGTCGGTAGTTTGAACCCACCAGCCACCCCACGAAAGAAAGATGAGGCAGTCTGCCTCTGTAATGATTTATAGCCTCAGAAACCCTATGAGGCAGTTCTACTCTGCCCTAAAGGGTCGTTATGAGTCAGAATTCACTTCATGGCAGTGAGTGTGGTTTTGTTTTGGTTTAAATCAGGTACCTCTGAATTTCAGTGAACTTTTTCCTGTTTCCTTTTAAATTTGTTCACAAAACATTCCAATATTAAAGTATCGTTACATACAAATATAAAATAGAGACTTAAGAATGGTAGTTTAGTAAAATAAAATATAACATTAAGTTGGGGCACACCAAAACAGATTAAGCTCTGACCATGAAGGGTTACTACATGGCTCCATTTCAAGTTACCTCAGCAAGCTAGCCCTATTTGGGGACAATAATCACCATTTTAAAGCCATCCCCATCACTTTAAAAGTAGTATCATGGGGGGAAAAAACAACCTTAAGCTAATTTTTCATTATATATTTATATATAAAATGAAGAAGGATAATTTTTATATATATATATACGTATAAATGAATATATATATATATTTTTTCCTTTATTTCCTTTATATCTACTCTAAGTTTAGCATAAGAACATTTCTGGGTTCAGGATTAATAAATTATACAGTTAAGAAATGACTGGGTTAAAAAAAAAGTAATACAGCAGCAATGTCACTGATAAATTAGTAACACCTAGGAGTCTAAATTGCTTTTAAAACCCCCAACAAAAATCTGCACCAAACAGCATACTTGAACATGCATACCTCAAGTCATCACTTGGTTCTTTTTTTTCTGGAAGTTCCATGTGCTTGGAGTCTGTTGGTGAGTACTCTTCAGCAACACTGGGCTCCAGGCCTATCATGGGGACCTCTGAAGTAAAAGAAAGCTCCCCTTCACTGGAAACTCCAAAAAGGTCTGGGTCATCTTGAATTACATCAATTAAGAGGACATCATCTTCATATGCTTTAAGAACATCCGGAAACTCCATTTTAATTTCTGAAAAGGTCTCAGTCATTTTTTTAGTACTATCTTCAGAGGAAACTGGTTCAAATGTGTCTTGTTGATTACAACAGAAAGCAGTACTTTTCTCTGTACACTCAGGATCACAAGGAAAAATATTATTTTCAACTGTAAGAGAAACAGCTTCCTGGTTAGAAACAATTTTGCCTACTTCAGAGATGTGATTAGATGGTTTATTATTACCTTGCTTTGAGAAGCCTGAAGAAACACTGCAGTTATTCTTACTGTAGAATGAATCAGAACTCACTTGCATTGAAGTTACACTGTTTTGTACACTCCAAGATTGAGGTTCTGATATTTCTATGGAGACATTTTCTTTACTCCAATGTTGTTTTACCTCTGCTACAGATAAATTGTCAAGAAGTTCTAGGGGACTATAAGCTTCTCTCTCTGATGACTTGAGATTTACTTCTTTTCTTTTTTCTGTTCTATTCTTAAGTAAAGGAATTTTAAAATTAGTCAGCCGTCCTGTGTTCAATATTTTAACCAAATCTGGAACTTCAAGTGTTTGCTTAGCAACACGTGCTTTTCGATGAATAGTTTTGCCTGTAGAGTTATTTGCTTCCTGGCCATCCTGGGAAGCCACTGTAAAATTAGGTTTTGTTAAATTCCCTCTATCCTTTTTTTTACTTCCTGTCAAGCTTTGAGTCACATTAGTTAACCGAGTGTCTTGGGCAGTGTTCACAACTATCTCTGGCCCACTTCTGCTCAGCTCCTCTGACCTCACTTTTTTATCACCACTGATTATAGGTTCCTCTATAACCATTAAAGTTGGTTCTGTTGCAGAATCTGAAGATAGACAATTTACATCAGAATCCAATTTTTCTTTGCTTGAAGAGTCAATGTTTGTTTCCGTTATAGAGCTTTGTAACAATACTTTGGAATCAGTTAAGTGAGTCTGATTTGTTGGGTGTTTAAGAAAATCATTTTGACTAAAACTTTCTCCAGACGCAGAAAGAAATAAATTTGATTCTGGCAAGGATGCCTTTTTCCAACATTGGACAGATATTCTAGCACACGAGTAACAAGGCCAAGTTCTTTTACCAGTCATTGGTATTGTTCTGTGACAGCTTAACTTTGATTCTTCAGTTTCATTTCCCAACTCTTCCTGTGAAGATCTTTCAATATGATGGTAATCAGAAAGGTCAAATCTATCACTAGGTGGCTTCACTACTGAGTTTCTTACTAACTTAAAATATTCTTCTGGCTCCATGTTTTTACATACAAAGGGCTCTGAAGCAGTCTTTGTTTCTTCTTTCAAAAGTGGGTCAAGGGTTTTCTGAAACATAGCATTTACATGATGTTCAGGACTTGTTTTTTTCTCTTCTGTTTCTGGGAGACTTAATGAATGATCCACTGGAGAGGATGTGTTATGGTTTACTCTCCTCAAAACTTTGGAAGGGCCTTTTTTAGTGTCTAAAGTTCCTGCTTCTTTACATTGAGCACGCATGAGGTTTTCTTGTAATACCAACTCAGACTTGCTGTACACATTAGAGAAGCTCTTCTCAGTAACTGTTTCATCTCCTTTTTCAGCCAACTTCATCTTTTTCTTTGGTTTTCTCCCAATATTGCTCTCCGCTATTGAATATTTATGTTTTTCACTTTGAAGGCAGGAAAGGAAGCCATTATTTGTACTTTGGTCTAAATCACTGTCTTCAAGCAATAATTTATTTACTCCCATTAAGTTTTCTTCACTTTGTAAAAGCTGAGGAATACTATTTGTATCACTCTTCTCTGCAAGGCTCTTAAGATTTTCATTCTTGGAAGAATTTTCTGCTACATGCATACATCCACCATCAGGTTTATATTCAAGGTTGTTTTCATCATTACAACCCTTAAAATGGGGGAAACAATTACAATCATGTAACTTTAAAATATAATTATTGTCTACTCTAGGTGACAAGCTGTTACAAGAATATTTTGGAGTATTCTTGTACAGTTCATCTTGGAATTCAACCTTACCATTTTGTGCCACTTTATTTTCAGTTATTTTGAGATAACGGAGATAATCTCTAAATTTTTAAGTTTTTTAATCTCAATCCTTCTTCTAATACCTTCTACCAAACCTTCCTCACCCAAAGACTACAAAGAAAGCCATACTTTGAATTTAACTGCATTGCACTGTTTGGAAAGATTCCTAACTGGTTAATGATTCCTTCCTTACCAGGTCAATTCCTGGCTGTGGATCGTCACTGGAGGCTTCAATAACTTTTCTTTTTTCCTTGGCTGATCAAAACAACAAAACATGACAAGAAAGATTTTACATTGAGGAGGAAATAGGAATGCCACTTAAAATTAAAATTTGTGAAGCTACATAGGAGCTGTGGTAGCATAGTGCCTAAGGCACTTGACTGCTCACCAGAAGGCTGGCGGTTCAAATCCACCAGCCACTCCTCGCAAGGAAGGTTGGGCAATCCTACTTCCGTAGTGATACTGCCTCGGAAACCCAAGGAGGGGTCGCTATGAGTCAGGGCTGACTCCACGGCAAAACAACAACAACAACTCATCCTTACTTCCCCGAATAGCTGTATGGAAGTATAGTTTGTTTTTAAATGAAAGACCTATTTTCAGTTAAGTAACAACATAAAAACCCGTATAAATTCTAAGGCAGCTGAATAACCCCTAGCATCATCACTCACACTAGCTAAAATGGGTCATTGGTAAGAATTCCTCCAACAGGATTTCTGACCAAGGGTTCCTCCTAACGGGGCAAACACCTTTTAAAATAACCCGTTTTCCCTCTCATCATGGGCATCAGTTAAGATCACGCAAATTAAAGACTAGCAGTGAAACAAGGATGGAGCTGACAGTCTGAGGTGCAAAAGGCAGAAAGGGAGTGAGCACTGAATGCTTTCTTACTGTGCCTTCCCGATTGCAAGGGGAGCTTGGCTTCCTTCGCTGCTTCTATGCCCGGTTGGTCCGCACTCGACGGGCCCGCTGAGTCCCCCGACAGGCCTCCTGGCCCTTCCACTCGCCGCCTCGCGGCCTTCCCTGCCCTGGACACCTCACTCGACTTTTCACTTTCCACCTTTTCTCTCCCATTCACCCGGACCACCATTCTGTTTTGCCTGTTCTCCTCACACCCCACGCCCTGAGGGCCGCAATCTCCTGCCTCGCCTGGCCCTGGCGCCACCCTTCGGCCTCGTTTCCGCAGGCTCAGCGCTTCGACTTCACGCCTCCGGGCCGCCGCGGGGCCCAAAGAGGGCGACCGGCGCATCCGCCTCGGGCCACCCGCGGTGCCTGCCAGGGCACCTCAGCGCCGGCTACCAGCAGCCACCCGGCCGCGCGAAAGCTGCTACCTCAGCCCGGCGCCTACAGCCCTCGGCCCCGCCCTACACCGCCCCCAACTCTGCCCGGGGCCGGAAGCGGAAATGGGGGTCTGCGCGGTCTGGTCCGCCTAACCGGCAGAAAGGGCCAGAACCGCGCTCATCAGGCACATTCGGGGGAGCCCCTCGTGCCGAGACGAAGGCTGGCAGCGGCTGAGGCAGGGGGTGTCACTGTGCGGGGCTCCCGCTGGGGTGGTAGGCTATATACCTTCCCAGAGACCTTCAGGGTTCCTTCTCATGTTCTAGCTGTTCACAGAGGCCACTGTCGGCGGATGGTCTCTAAATTAAATTCCAAGACTGTTCTTGGAATCTCTGCCCAGCCACCTTCTTGTTAGCCATGCAGATATCCTTTCGGTATACCAGTTGCTCTCCAGTCGATTCTGATTCATGGCGACCCCATGTGTGTCAGAGTAGAACTGTGCTCAATAAGGTTTTCAATGGCTGACTTTGGCAGAAGTAGATTGTCAGACCCACTTCTCTTCATCTCCCACATCCACATTCACTAAATCTGCTTAATGTTACTTTCTAGTATTTGTCAGCCACTCTTCTCTACCATTTTTGTGACAGTGGCCCTCACATTTTCTTTAGTGACATCAGTTGCATCCGTTTCCTAAATTTTATTCATGCTTCCATCCTTGTGCCACTTCAGTCAGACTTACTTTTGCTGCCAAGTAATGTTTCTCCAATAATAGAAGATTCAGGCACTCCCCAGCTTGACCCTTCATGAACTTCCATTCTGCACAGACTAAAAGTAATGAGAAAAAGTATAACTCCTTAATGAGGCCCTTTCTAACATGGTCTCTGCATTATTTAACCAATTTTCTCCTACTGCTGCCACTGTAGGGAAACAATTCATGCTTTGATGGAAAACTGTCCACAGAAGTCACCATTCTTTGATTCTGGTTCTGTGGAAGTTACTGTAAACCAAAAACCAAACGCACTGTGGTGGAGCCAGATCCAACTCATAGCAACCCCTCCTTGAGTTTCCCAGGCGGTGTCTCTACAGAAGTAGATTACCCAGTCTTCCTTCCGAGGAGTAGTTGGCGGGTTTGAACCACCAGCCTTCTGGTTAGCAGTCAAATGCCTTAGGCACTATGCCACCAGAACTCCTAAACACCAAATAGATGAGTTAAATAAAAGCCTCAATGTACATTGAATGATACTGTTGTTGTTAGTTGCTTTTGAGTAGATTCTTGCTCATGGCAACCTCTTCAGAGTAATACTGCTCCAAAGGATTTTCAGGGTTGTAACCTTTCAGAATCAGATCACCAAAGTCTGTCTCTTGAGGCACCCCTGGATGAGTTTGAACTACCAAACTTTCAGCTAGTAGTTGAGTGTTTACCCATCTGTGCTGCCCAGGGACTCCTTCCTATGTAATGCTGACATTTGTTACCTTCAAAATAAGCATTGCTACTAAGATCTTAGTAAAAGACAAAAATTCAAGGGTCCAGCTTCTTTAATCTGAATGAAAACAGATTTTTTTTTTTTTTAAATTGTGATTTGGGTGAAGATTTACAGAGCAAATTCACTTTCCATACAGCAGTTCAGATATACTTTATCTCATGTCATTGACCACAGTTTACCACAATGCTCCCCTCCCACGTCCTCCCCATAGTTACCTCTTCCCAGTGTCCATCCCTCCATACACTCCTG